TGAGTTTTAAAGGTAGCTTTTACTTTGTTGTTATTTTACTGGTGAATTATTGCAATGTGTTCAAACTTCGAAGTCTACTGTCCCATACCAAAACACAAGAAATGGTGATAACACAGCTTCTCTACTCCTTACTTGCACACACTGGACATGATACCCAGGGCCGGCCCTAATATTTGCGGGGCCCTATGTGAAATGGATAGCGCCGTCTCAGTCAGGGTAGGGATAAGGATAATAAGTGAAAATTAATATTTTGCATTAGAAAATAAATTTATCGTTGCATTACATTTAAACTAAATGAAAGTTGACAATGTCGTTTTTTTTTATCGCGCGTAGGTTTGGCGTTTACCATATTGATTGACACCCCTAAATGACAATGTTGTCTATTGTAAGGACATTTTTTTAATGCGTTTTCAGGAGATTTTAATAATTTCAGGAGATTGCCAGACTGTTAGTATATTTTGCAATTCAGATTTCCAGGATCTCTTTGAAAATTAGGAGACCCTGTAATAAGTTACAATGGTTTAATTTAAGAATTTACACCTTGAATTAGCGCGGAGCTTATGAAAGTTTGGGGCTCACTGCGGCCGCATAGGTTGCAGTGGCCTAAGGCCGGCCCTGATGATATCCTGCTCGCGGTCAATGAATTTTCATTACGCTGCCGCCCCTTTTGGTTTAACCATAGACCTCTGTAAAACGGAAGTCATGTTCCAGAAGTCACCCAATAAAATCTACTCAGCCCCAAAGATCAACGCGAATCGGCATCCCTTACCTTGGTAGACAACTTCACATTATCTGGGAACCATTGTATTTAATGACTCATTGCTTTAAAGAGAGGTTGATATGTGATCAGAGTTAGTCGTGCTTTTGGACGCCTCCAAGCTAGAGTGTGGCGAAATAAATAGCTCCGCCTGTCTACAAAAATCAGTGTCTACCAAACAGTGGTTCTCTCAACGCCTCTTTGTGGATCTGAGACATAGGTACTTCATAGAAAGGAACTAAGACTTTTTGAAAGCCTTCATCAAAGATATTTGCACACCATCATAGAAATACGTTGGCAATACCGCACTACAAACAGCGATGTTCTTTCGAAATGGTATGAACTTCTTATAGTCCAACCGTCTCGCTGTGTTATTTTACTTAGTTACAAGGTGCACGTTTACCCTATAACGTAGAGATTCTGTATCACTTGATGATTTGTACTAAAGCCACAATGAATATACTAATTGCAATATTAAATTCTGAACGTGACCATTTTAGAAGCTACACTGCAAAAACTTTCTTCCAAGCCAATAACAGCCCAATAGTTTTACGCAAAAGACGCAATGTAAAATGACAAGACGTGAGCTGTGGTTTTTCTACACTGTTGGGGGGGGGGGCGGACTTAAGAGACTTTCTATTCGAATTGTCATATACAATTACACTGAGAACTAAGAGAACGAAAAAGCAACTCTTCAGATTGACAGTCTTTATGGGAGGTTGATAAGCGTCTGATCAGGGCCAGTAATACTTTTGGACGCCTCCAAGCAAGTGTGGCAATATAAATCGTTCCGTCTGCCTAAAAAATCAATGTCTACCAAGCAGTGGTTCTCTTTACCTCTCTATCTTATCTTATATAATACAGACGTTACTTCAAAAAAGAAGATAATTACGTCCTACGCGTCATGCATTTAGTCATGCATATTAACCAATGACTTAAATTCTCTATATGGATCTTAGACATGGGTACTTGACAAAAAGCAACTAAGACTTCTTGAACGCTTTCACCAAAGATGTTTGCACACCATCTTGGACATACTGTGGCTAGACCGCACTACTTCCCGACAGTCTCACTGGGAAGGGCAAGTATCCCGTATGGGGCTCTAACATCTGCCAAAGACTTTTTAGTGAGCATAACAGAGGTGCTCGAAGGGAAACGCTTTTTTACAATACTAACGCAATGCTTTTAAGTCTTTAAGGGAATAAAATGCGTTATTTTTGTTTGTTACAAAGTTTATGTTTTACCCAAAAACGTAGAAATTGTGTATCACTTGATGTTTCGTACTAAAGCCATAATTGATATATTCATTTCAAAATTTAATTCTGAACGTAACCATTTGAGAAGCTACACTGCAAAGACTCTCTACCAAGCCGGTAGTAGGCCAATTGTTTAACGCAATGTGAAATTTAATTTTCGAGATTACAGGGAGACTTTCTATTCGAATCGCCATGTATGGCATGTACAATGTCATTTAGAACTAAAAGAACACAAAAGCAACTCTTCAGATTAGTAGTCTTCGACCAGATCGCTCATTTTCGTCATTAAAAAATAAGTTCGTGTAAATATTTTTCGTTAATAGATTATTCCTCCGAGCGAGGCTCGGTCACCTGGTACTTGATAATAAATTATTTTATTTCCTATTGAATTCGGGAAATAACTTCTACATTATTGAGAGATATTGTTGTACGTGAGGACTTTTTCTCCTTAAATAAGCTTCTTTTTTTATATTTTGCTTTTTTTTTGTATTTTAACGATATCATTGGTCTGATAGACCAGGGATAATATCATAATCTACTACTAATCCAGGTCTGTTGGTTAAAGCTTAATCAGTAGATTCATGGGCGTAGCCAGGGGGGGAAGGTGAAACTCCCCCCCCCCCGAAATAAAATCCCCCCTGCGGGGCGGGGGAGACGGAATTTAGTAACTGGTTTTTGTTTTGATTTTGTTTATTGAAGTGAGATTTTAATACTAAACTATCACTTGCCCCAGCGCAGCCAAGGTGGCTTTGAGTTTAAGAAGAGATCTAATGTGTTGTTTAATCTAGTTGTTTTTTTTTATAATTTGATCTAAACTTAAGTTGTGTAAGGTTTCTATGAAAAGCTCATTTATGTCCTTAAGTTTTTGGTGTTTATGTATGGTTAGGGTTTTCCTTTTTATATCAAGTAGGTTAAAGTCACCCATAATCCAAAAAAACTGCATTTTTATTTTTTTCTTTAAGGGTAGTTAACTGATTGCATAGTTATTGCGTACACTCTAGACTAGAATTTGGTGGTCTGTAGATATTGCCTATTATTAGGGATGTTGAGATGGTGTTAATATTATAAAATGGTGAATCTATATTTTTTGAGTTAGGTAAGGTAATTTCTATTTTGACAACAGTCTGAATGAAGCGCATACCTCACAACAAGCGTGGTTAAAAGATGGCGTGGAATTTCAAGATTCGTTTGTTTTAATATTAGAGATAAAAAATAAATAGATCTAAAAAAAAAAGTATGAATGATACTAAAAACACAAAGTTTTCTGAGTTTTTGTCGAATCAATTTCTAGTTGAAAGAGGCGCCTGTGCACTGTTTGTCTTTCTCTTGGCCTTTGCTGTCTTGCAACATGTGCAGCTTTCTGTTGTCTATTAGAGGAAGTCTTTAGTTCTAAGGTACATAAAGATTTGATTCTTCCTTGAAACGTTTCAGTCTAGCCAACAGTGACTACGTTGTTCCAGTTAAGTTTCAATGTGGTTTAAATATTAAGTGAACTGAAAATGTCAATGCTAACCATGGCTAACAAACTGAACTGATACATTTTGAAATGGGAGAGAAGGGAAATATACACAAAAGTTGTTAGAATAGCTAAATAAGTTGACTCATCAATGCTAAAAAAGTTAACTCATCAATGCTAAATAAGTTGACTCATAAATGCTAAATAAGTTGATTCATCAATGCTAAATAAGTTGACTCATCTATGACTAGAAGTGACTGTAATAGAATAGCTAAATAAGTTGACTCATCAATGCTAAATAAGTTGACTCATAAATGCTAAATAAGTTGATTCATCAATGCTAAATAAGTTGACTCATCTATGACTAGAAGTGACTGTAATAGAATAGCTAAATAAGTTGACTCATCAATGACTAGAAGTGACTGTAATAGAACAGCTAAATAAGTTCACTCATCAATGACTAGAAGTGACTGTAATGGAATAGCTAAATAAAGTTGACTCATCAATGACTAGAAGTGACTGTAATAGAACAGCTAAATAAGTTGATCATCAATGACTAGAAGTGACTGTAATAGAATAGCTAAATAAGTTGACTCATCAATGACTAGAAGTGACTGTAAAAGAATAGCTAAATAAAGTTGACTCATCTATGACTAGAAGTGACTGTAATAGAATAGCTAAATAAGTTCTCATCAACGACTAGAAGTGACTGTAATAGAATAGCTAAATAAGTTGACTCATCAATGACTAGAAGTGATTGTAATAGAATAGCTAAATAAGTTGACTCATCAATGACTAGAAGTGATTGTAATAGAATAGCTAAATAAGTTGACTCATCATGACTAGAAGTGACTGTAATTGTTCATTTGATTAAAAGAATAAAAGACCAAACGTGACTAAGTAAATGAAAGAGACATTAGACTGCAAATAAAGAGTAATGTGTGAGTCAAATGAAAGAGACATTAGAATTTGCAAAATGAAAAACAAAGCGTAAGTGTAAATAAATGATGGTGTACACACTTAATTGTACAATTAGATACCACCTGTAATCTTTATATTCGGTCTGATTATAAAGTACAATTAGAGACCACCAGTGACCTCTATACCTGGTCTGATTATAAAGCCTTCATGCATTTTTCTTTTAGATCTGTACTATAAATTGTTGCATTATTTTGAGAACCTTGAATATGTCTGACGTTGGAGAAATGCCTAAATAACTAAGCATATTTTTTTTAACGATTTAACGTACACCCAATGGAAATGTAGACTCATTGCTGAGATACACACAAAGTGAGCAGGTCGTGATTGTGCTGCCTGAAGAAATCTTGAAACACAACTGCTTCCTCCACCTCACAAGTATACAAGTAATTAATACCACCACTGGACAATACATCACACACACACGTCTTTATACTGAACTCAATGTCCACATATTTACAATACACCAGATATGTATAAGTATTTACTCAACTCAATGTCCACACATTTACAATACACCAGACATGTAGAAGTATTTACTCAACTCAATGTCCACATATTTATTACATCAGACTTTATTATCATTTGGTGGTTGTTTTCATAGACCAGAAACAAAACAGCTTGTAAAAAACAAAAACAACAGAAAATAAAACAAGTGCAGAGTTCAGGCGAGGACAACTGCATATATTTCTTGAACAAGCTCGGGGTAACAAAGAGAATAAATAAAAGAGCAGTAGAGTTGAGAATGCTGACAGCAACATGCACAAACAGCACAAATGTACACAGCTACTTGTCATGTTGCGGCTACACAGTTTTACCCACAATTCCATAGAACATTTGGTTAGGACCAATCAAATGAATCAATAAATAACTGAATGAGCTATTGTTGATTTTGCAGATGAAGAGTTGGAGCAAGTGTCAAGGAGGAGACAATCAGTTTGTATCAACCCACAATGTGCTATAGTCTATACTAACTGGGGTTAAGTCTCACTCCAATATGTACAATACAACTTCTTACAGTTCTACAATACAAGTGACCACTGGGCTGTACAAGCTACTCCCTCAGCTCTGGTAATAATTCTTCACATAATTAACAATAGAAATTATGATTCACACAATGAATTATACTATTCAATCATGATATAAAACACGACCAATTAGTAAACCTTTTAGTTTTCAACGATAAGCCTCTCTTTTTGTTATTCCTTATTTCAGCTCTAGAAAAGTTCTTTTTCAATACAGTTGCTGTAGTTCACCCATATCTTTGTGTTCATAAACTCTTTAGAGTGTGGAAGGTACAAAGAAGTTGAATTAAAAATAAATTATCATTAATGCTGTTATAAAAGGATACATGACAAAATCCACATAAAATTGCCAATGGTGCAGAACTAAAAAAAAAATAATAAAAAAATTCATAACTAACAGATCCTCATCATCCTCTGTCCATAAGAGAAATTAGTAAAAATATGTTTTGCTAAAAGTTATCTACTTTGTCTGCCACAACAAATGATTTCAACAGTTGAGAAGAAGTGTGTACACTAACAAATCATAGGACTTTAAATAGTTTCTAGATGTGAACAATTTTGACTGAGTTACAGATCTATAGCTGACAAAAAAACAACAACAATGGTGTAAGTTTCATAAAAAAAAAAGAAGGAAAGTGTCTTTTTATCACAATAGTAAAGTTAGTCATCGTTATAATGTAGTCAAACATATTAAAAATGAAAACATTCATATTTACAATGAGAACAATTATAATTAAAGTGGAGTCAGACAAATGTTATCATATTTATACATAGTGAATATAGTCATAGTGAAACAATATTTGAATGAGGTCTTTGTCATAGTGAAGACATTTGGTTTGAACAAAACAAAGCCAAGTCATGAGCAGCAGCCACAGTGAGTGAAAAATTCAGAACAATAACAAAAGTTTTTGTTTCACATGTTTTGAATGTTCCTTTAGAATTGAAGAGTATTATGTCCTAGCACAAACCTTCTGCAATATAGGGGGAGATGGCAGCTGGCAGGGTGTTGAACCTGGGACTATCAAGGTGACAGTCTAGAGCACATACCAAATATCCAGGCTGCCATCAGACTAGAAATATGTAAACAAGACTTGACTTATTGTTTACAATTTTTAACACTAGTTTACCTATCAAAATTGGTTATAAGCTGAATAGTAATGTAGGTGGGGGGGGGGGGGGACACATTAATTGAGGAACAGGACCAAATTTCTGGAGAGTTTCCTCAAATATAGCCAGTCAATGAATGTGAAAGGTTTGAAAGGCAATCTCTACAATGCCAGTCCAAACAAATGCTTCCTTGTCATATTTGGATGCAAGAGTTCAAATGTCTTATTTCCATGACAACAAAAAAGGGAAGAAAAAAAAACATTTCTAGGACTGAGCAGAAGATCCAAAACTGCCAAATTTTAATTGGTTTCATTATTTTATGAATTATTTCTAAACTAAATGATAATAAGGTTGTGAAGAACACATTATGAACTATGCAATGCTCTTTGACATATGGGTTGATTATTGACATATATACAAGTCATGATGCTATTAAAAAAAAAAGGAGAAATGTTTGTACATGAAGTCAGTAAGATAATTGTCATATCAACTCAAATATTTGCAGTTCTTTCTTTACAGTAGTTTAGCATTATTACTTAAAGCAACTATTATCATTGTTTGTTTTATTATGTTCATTTTTATTGAGTTTTGGTGAGATCTTAGAAACTTGAGCATCAATAGTACAAGCAGTAAACAGTGGACTCTCAGTCCAGTCCTTATGTTAGTTACTGGTTCAATGATCTTCACTTAGAAATCTTTTGTTCCAACATTTAGAAGTAAAAGTGTCAAGCATGTAGAAACAGATGGCAAGGAGTTGGGTAGCTGGCATGTTTGGTAAGAGGAGGAATGTATTTGGGGAGGATGGAGCTGGGTAGGGGACACATAAGGAGCACATCAGAAACGTGCAGATGTTAGAACTAAAAAAAATCCTTTCAGTGACGGGGGGGGGGGGGCATGGTGGCTGAGCACTTGGTGTCTTAGCTGTGGGAAGGATTTAGAGTTTCAAGACATTCCTGGGTCAAACTAACTGTAATGGCTACCTGATGTGAGTTGGGGGAAGTAAAGGAAGTTGGTCAATGTGCTGTCCAACCCCCTCCTCCTCCTCGTTAACTGTTGGCCATAGAAACAGATGAACTTTACATCATCTTCCCTATCGACCAGCAAGCTTTGAAAGGGGTAATTAATAAACTGAGTGAAACTTTCCACTAATACAACCTTCAGCAGCAAGTCACTAATGTGAGACTGCTCTGCAATAGGAAGTGTGTTCTCACCTCCTGACAGACACATAAATAATAGACAAAGCATAAGTAGCTTCTGGGTGAACAAATAATCAGTGACAAAATGTGGCATTACAAAATACCACAGGCAACATAGTCAATTTGTTCTTTATAGAAGAAAAATGATCAGGCAATCAATATTTCTTAGACTAAAAAAAAAGGACACAGCCCAGTCATGATTCAATCAATAACAGACTTAAGTTAAATATGTGACTAGTTTGTTGTTTGTTTAGGACATTTCTTCACATCCCAGTAGGAGGGCAGGGGGTTCAAACTCAGAACTATTAGCCAGAGTGCCACATGACCAGGTAGTCACAAAGTGACACTTTTGTGAAATGAAAACTACATCTAAAAATTAACTGACTGTTAAAACAAACCTTATTTGTTAGGCCAATGATAATCATTTAACAATATATACTGTGCAGGTAATGTGAAGAGTAGAGTATTTCAAGAGAAATGAAGTCTTAAAAATGCTTAATTTATATACATGTTGTCCTTCTAGAAACTTTACTAACTGTTTGTCTTATTTACACAATACAAACACAATAAGTGCTACAGAAATGAACTTAGAAAACAATTTTCTACCCTACAATGAAAAATTGTCCAGTAGATAGGATTAAAACAAAGAAACAAAGATTCTAAAAATCTGTGTATATTTTTAAAGTAAATAATTGGTGTAGAGACATAAAAAAAAATACAGCCAAATGACACTCATTTAGAACAAACATTGTCCCCTAAACATAACAGGAAAGTTTCAACTTTAAAGTCTAAGTCTAGCCATATGACAAATAAACATAGTGAAGTTGAACATATCAATTGTTCAAATGTTTTTATAACAAATTCTGCAGAAAATGTAAAACAAAGAATAGCAACAAAAAATCATAGCCTTAAGACTAGTTTGTGGTTTACAAAATTGATTCTCAGAACTTGACATTGAAGAAGCTCAAAGTTGCACAAAGAACTTCTGTGAGAATCAAAAGCTTAACAAATCCATATGAAAATGTGTTTTGAAAACTTTAGGGGAAAACATGGGCACTGATTGTGTAAGAGGTTATGTTGAAAATGATGGATTGGATGGTATGACTCAATGGACACACTAGATGCCCACACATTTAATAATCAATCATTCAAAAATTGTTAAAAATTAGTCTTGTTACCTAAGATCACAGCCACACTCAGATGAGTGATTCTCTAGCACTAGGACATTTGTTTCCTTATCCACACATGCTGACACACACACACAATGTGAAAGTGATGTCATTTCATCCATAACAGCAACCAACCAATTAGCCAGCTAAAAGCATGAGTAGACAAAGCAATTAGCCAGCTAACAGCACATGAGTAAACAATACAATTAGCCGGCTAACAACAATAAAATATTATGGAATACTTGTCATGAGTTCAAACAAATTGCAAGAAAATTTAACATTCAAACCCCAGCACAAAAAACACAAATGTTGCCAATGTTACTTGACCATTGTGTTGTGATACAATTCCAAACATACTTGCCCTTACAAAACACACCTTTCATTAACATGACGTTTGATATAATGACAATATTGGGGCAATATCCAAACAATTAAATTAACAGTGCATACAGAACCCACACAGAAAATTTAGGATTTTTTTTTCTTTAGAAAGACAATCTGATTGTGTATAGTATCAATAAGTACAATGTTGCAAAGTCTAGGCTTGTTGCCATGACAGCATAGTTATCAACAACTACATGAAACAAAACTGTTCTCCAGTACAAGTCCATCAACTAGATGTTGCTAATACTTCCTGTTCAGAGAAGTAAAAAGTGAGCTGGTGGTTTCACTGTGTTACACAGAATCAGTCTCTTTTAAGAGGTTAAAATCCTAACATCTGAATAGGATTTTACAGAACAAGGTTTGAATCGCTCTGAATCATTTTGTTATAGTCTTTGAAACCTGAGCCTACTTGAAATGAATCACTGCCTAATGCTGTAACGTTTCCCTGCTCACATGTTTCTGGAGTCTGGTCGGTTAGGACTCCAATTAGAGATTCTGCTCCTAAACTTTGACTCATAAGGCGATCATCATACAAAGAAAGACGGCCTTTTTTAAAAGAGACTGGGGTTTTGATCCGGCGCCTAATTTTTTCACTGGAATCTGAATGACTATGTACAATAAGATTTTTCTTATCATCGGACACTACTGTGTTAACATGACCATTGCAGGTATCCCAAGCTGTTCCTTTTTTAAAGCCATTATTACCAGCAGTAGGCAATGTGCTGCGTAGTGAGCTAACAGCCACATTCTGTGAAGAATTTATCAACCGCTGCTTATCCATATCAGCAGATAGAAAAGGCAGACAACTCTTGTTTAATGTAATGTTCGGCACTACTACAGGCAAGGTCCCATTCTCTCCCAATTTACTTGGGTCACTGCTGGATGGTTTTGTGGCCACAGGGGCCATGATGACAGAGCAGCCAGCAGGAATGGGCACAGTAGTATCCTTTTTGATGTGATTGTAATTGTGACCTTTTAAAGACAAGGACTTTGGCCTTGGCCTGTGATTTCCATTTGTTTCATCACAAATTTTGCCAATGTGCTGAAAGTCATTTAAACTGCTGCGCTGGTGCCTGTCTAGGTCTGTCACACTCTGGGACTGGGATAACTTGGCTAATGGTGAGTGTTTTCTCAACTCATTTCTCTCAATATCTCTTCCAGTTTTCTCCTGTGGCTGTGACACAGTGGACAATGTTTTTTTACATGCTACCTGGTCTGGCAGTGCTGAATGAGGGCTTCTTGAAAGACTTTTATCACAGATAGGCACAACGGACATGATAGCATTGCCTCCCTTAGTGTCTGGCAAGTGATTGTCTTGGCTAAATTTACCCTGCGGAATTTGACTAGATGCAGTTCCTGGCAAATTGCTGAATATGTTTTTCTTTCTTGGCATTTTAGCAGCACTTACTTGGGAAACATTAATGTTGATAGGAGATATTGTTCTATTCTGTGGGGAGTGCACAGCTAAACCTGTCTCTACACTGTTAAGGGAATCCAAGAAAATTTTTGACAAGTTGGCAGCGTCATGCTGTGATGCAGGTGGGTAAGCCAGGTCTGAATAGTGTGGATGAGAACTAGATCTATGGTCTGATGATGTGAGACTAGAGGTAGATGAGCATTTAGCAGAGGTGTCTGATTGCCCATCAGGCGCACAAGTTGAGGGGAGTGCCACAGAGTGCATGGAACCATAGTCTCTATTTGATGATAAGTTCTGTAAGGAAAGTACTGTCTCTTGGTCCCTGGAATCATTGGACACTGAGCTTGTGTTGCCTTTAGGGAAAAGGGACGGAGACGGGAGGTCATCATTTGCAAGGACTCCAAGCCTCATGGCGTTGGTGGCAAACAGCCTAGCCTGTGCTTCAGACGTGATGTTAGAATGCAATGGATAAGTGAGGGTGTCATTGCATGTCCTAGTCACAGCTATTCCAATGACCATCTCTACTTGAATATTTAGTGACCCTGGTGCTACACTGCTGTTTGTACCACCCAGACATCCCTTGGGGACATAATGGCCAGAAGATTTAAGGGAACAGGGGGTCTCTACCTCACCAGTGCCCAGGTTATATTTTTTCTTGTTCTTCCCACCAAACATAAGTTTGGAAAACTTGTGACCTAATCCCATTGGCTGGATCAGCTTACTCAGTTTCTGCTTCAATGACTTTGAATGTAGCCCCTCCTCTGTGTTTCTCTGATTAATACTAGGGTCTTCCCCATGGAGGCGCAAATAAAAGCTTCTGTTGCTGCTAATGTTAGACAGCTTAGGACGCGTCAAGCTAGGGGCAGCAGATACTAGAGCAGCACCATCATTGTGAACCTGGTTTTG